ACTGAGCAGGTCCTGGGGAGCTGGGGTGGGTGAGGGTGTGGGGAATGGACTGAGCAGGTACTGGGGAGCTGGGGTGGGTGAGGGTGTGGGGAATGGACTGAGCTGGTTCTGGGGAGCTGGGGCAGGTGAGGTTGTGGAGAATGGACTGAGAAGGTACTGGGGAGCTGGGGTAGGTGAGGGTGTGGGGAATGCACTGAGCAAGAACTGGGAGCTGGGGTGGGTGAGGGTGTGGGGAATGAACTGAGCAGGTACTGGAGAGCTGGAGTGGGTGAGAGTGTGGGGAATGGACTGAGCAGGTACTGGAGCTGGGTTGGGTGAGGGTGCGGGGAATGGACTGAGTAGGTACTGAGGAGCTGGGGCAGGTGGGAGTGTGAGGGAGCAGGTCTAGCTGCTATGGGGGAGCTGGGGCAGGTGGGAGTATAAGAGATTCAGGCTGAATAGTTAAAGGGGTACCAGGCAGGTGGGAATGTGAGGGAACAGACTGAGGAGCATCCCAGACCAACCAGCAGAGTCTGTTTATTGCCAGGAGCTATATTAGCTGGCCTTAGAGATCACTCTGCTGGATACCAGGGCCAGGGGTTTGAGGAACAAGGCTGAGCTGAAATGGTAGGCAAGAGAGGGTGCCGGTGAGAGAGGGGAGGGTAAACTATCCTTCCTTCACATTGGGAGCGGGCTGGAGCTGATCTAGCTGTCTGCTCTGATGGCGGGGACAGGCCTGAAGGTATGTCAGTGTGTCGGCTGGTGAAATCAGCGAGGTTGGCCCACAAGGACAAAGGGGTCCTATCAGAGCAAGGAAGTCCTGGAGCTGGGATCAGTAGAAGAGTGCAAGGCCCACAGAGACCAGGAGATCAAACGGGAGGGAAGAGGGCACAAGAGGAAACGCTGCAGGGGAGTGCCCTTGGGAGAGAGCAGGTGCCCCTGGGGATCAGGAAGCAAGCCCAGTGTCAGGAGAGATGGGGGCCTGGAGAAGGCTGGACAGGCAGCAGGCAGCCCCAAGAGCTGAGGGGGAAAGAGGCAGATAGGAAAGCAGGTCAGGTCTAACAGGACAACCTGGGATACTCAGGACACAGAGACAGAACTAAAGGAGCCCTGCACACTGGAGAGGGCTGATACATGCAGCAAGAACAGCGAAGGGCTTAGAGAGAACCAGTCCCAGGGCTGGAGGGGTCAGGAAGGGCCTCTGGCTGTTCAGGAACATGAACAGGGAAGGACCCTTGGGCTGACCGGACCAAAGGAACTATACAGCTGCAGCCCTCAACTCAGGGGGCCTAGCTTGGGTCCTAGGCGCTTGTGGGAACACAGGGCAGGAACACCAAACCTGTCCCAACAACATAGGGCACCAGGGTCAGCCTACAGATGGAAGGGAGCGTGGGGACTCGGGCCTGAACAGGGGATGCCGGAGCTGAGGTCCAGGGGAGACCAGCAAGGCCCTGGAAACAAAGGGAGGAACCACGGATAGAAGGGACAGGGAAGGGGCGGTTCTGGCCAGCTTCGTTGAGAATGGGGATGTTTTCCAACTTCAAGAGCCCAGGGGTGATGAAAAAGGAAAGGGACTTTTCTAGGGTCTGGCAACGCAAGTACCATGCAAAAGGAGAACGCAGGTCAGTGTGAAGACCAAGACGGGAAGACATGGAAAGCCGAGGCTGAGCTCACCAGGGTCTCCTCAGTGCGACTGCACCATAGCAAAGTGCTGATCAGCCAGGGCAGGACAGGCCAGAGCTGCCCACACTACGTGCCTGGAAGGTGGGGATGTTGGTGGTGAACTGTAAGAGCTGAGAGAAAGACCTGAGAAGGGGGTAAGGTACACAGGAGTGGCCAACAGTGCATATTTAGGAGCCTAGGCTGACTTGGGAGGGGGTAGGTTGAGGAGGGGAATCCTAGAGGGTTGTATATGGGCAGGATGTGGCTCCACACCCAGGAGTACAGAGTGCTGACCCTACTTAGTTCAAAGCCAACTAGAAAAGACACCACCCCACACAGCACAGCGATGGCCAGTGCTCTGGGACTGTGGAGAGTTCAGGGAACCTAAGAACATGGGCCGTCAGTCAACCATCAACCCTCCAAGGCAGGAGCAAGCAGCCTAGGAGTTGGCAAGGGCCAACATGGCTGGGCAGGCAGAGCCAGGAAGGGACTGCCAGCTGGAGGATTGTGCTAGCTTTAGTTTGTCATTCAGTGTTGGCCTGGTTGCGTACAGCCATGTGGCCTAGGCACAAGAGACCAAAGAGTGGGGCATGGGTACCCACACTGGACAGCTGGTGTGGCAGTCCTCTGAAAATGGAACGGGGCTGTGCCCAAAGCGCCTCAGGCCTGACCTAACCTGGTGATCCTGACATTCACCAGCCCAGTCATCGGATATTGCCTACACCGTGTAGAGAGCCAGAGCCTCTGGAGGGCTGAAGACAAAGGCCTTCTCGAGGCTTGGATCAGTCATGTCTGACAGCATGATCACACATACCCCTCTTCTTGCAGCCACAACAACAGCCCCATCTGTCTATCCACTGGCTCCTGGAAGGGGAGGCACGTCTGGCTCCACGGTGACCCTGGGATGCCTGGTCAAGGGCTATTTCCCCGAGCCGGCAACCGTAACCTGGAACTCTGGATCCCTGACCAGCGGTGTGCACATCTTCCCATCTGTCCTGCATTCTGGTCTCTACTCCCTCAGCAGCTCAGTGACCGTGTCCTCCAGCACCTGGCCCAGCCAGCCCGTCATCTGCAACGTAGCCCACCCGGCCAGCAACACCAAGGTGGACAAGAAAATTGGTGAGAGATGAGCAGGGGAGGAGGGGTTCACTAGAGCTGCGGCTTGAGCCTCCTAGACCAACCAGGCCGGGCGGCCATCGCCAGGGAGGGGACCTTAGTCCGGGACAGCAGGACATCCTGTCAGTCCCCCTTCTGGAGACTTCTGTCCATGTCCTTTACACTCATGGATTAGTACTCTGGACTGGATGCCCATGCCCCTCATCCTGGACACACAGAGGTAGACTCAGGTATGAACCTGCCAAAGGTCATACCCAGGAACACCCAGCCCTGAGCCCGCACAACAGGCAAACTCTCCCTTCTCCCGTCTTGGTGCCCTCTCATCTCCAGACCCCAGTAACACACAGTCTTCTCTCTGCAGAGCCCAGAAAAGAAGCACCTGGCTGTCCTGAGCCTCCGTCATGTCCAGGTAAGTCAATAGGCCTTTCACTCCAGCCCCTATATGCAGCAAGTGCCCTAAGTAGTCCATATTGGAGGGTGGACCAAGTATTGCTCTATTCCCATCATTCTTCTCTATCTACAGGCCCAGAAGTATCATCTGTCTTCATCTTCCCCCCAAAGCCCAAGGACGTGCTCACGATCTCTCTGAGTCCCAAGATCACGTGTGTGGTGGTGGACATTAGCCAGGATGATCCCGATGTCCAGTTTAGCTGGTTTATAGATGACATAGAAGTACACACAGCTCAGACGGAACCCCGGGAGGAGCAGTTCAACAGCACCTTCCGCGTAGTCAGTGTCCTCCCCATCCTGCACCAGGACTGGTTGAATGGCAAGGAGTTCAAATGCAAGGTCAACAGCGCGGCCTTCCCCGCCCCCATCGAGAAAACCATCTCCAAGAAGAAAGGTGAGAGCTGCAGAGTGGGTGATGCAGTGGCTGCAATAAGGTGTAGATGTAGTTTGGCATCAACAGACTTCTGCCCTGTCCATGACCTCTGTGCTGACCACTCTCTGTATCCACAGGGCAAATCCGGGCTCCACAAGTATACGTCATGCCACCGCCCAAGGAGCAGATGACCAAGAATCAAGTCTCTGTCACCTGCATGGTAACAGGCTTCTACCCTAGTGACATTGATGTGGAATGGCAGAAGAATGGACAGCCAGAGCAGAACTACAAGAACACCCTGCCTGTCTTGGATGAGGATGAGACTTACTTCCTCTACAGCAAGCTCAATGTAAAGAGGAGCGATTGGGAGGCACAGAATACTTTCACCTGCTCTGTGGTCCACGAGGCCCTGCACAACCATCACACAGAGAAGATTCTCTCCCACGCTCCTGGTAAATGAGCTTAGAGTCCTGTGAGCCCTCTGGTCCTAAGAGATATTGGTACCTACCTCCACCCCTTCCCTGTGTAAATAAAGCACCCAGCACTGCCCTGGGACCCTGCAAAAATGTCCTGGTTCTTTCTGAGATATAGAGTCTACCTAGGTCATGGGCTGTGGGGTCTCCAGGGTTTGAGACCTGAACTAACACTAGGGAGAAAACATGGGTCTGTACGGCCAGACCCAGCACTCTTGAATTTGCCTGGCCTGAAAGGATTTTATTCCTCACTGGAAAGGCTTATCCCTAGGCAGTGCCTGTCACTTGCCCTCCTAACTAGCAGTTCACCTGTTAGGGCGCAGAGATGCTCCTAAGACTTCTCCAAAAGAAAGGAGCACACAAACTTCCTCTCCCTCAGTCTGTCCTTACCCCACTCCCTATCCAAGGATATCTCCAAGTGCACTGAAAAGATATATGTGGTCTAGGCTTGCAGACAGAACCTGGATGTCCCTCCAATCAGTCCAGAAGGTTTCCAGGGACTAGGTCTATGCCATAGGGTGAGAACGAAGGTAGCTCTCTCTGCCCATGAGAGGAACTACCAGAAGTCCAAGAGACTACTGAACCCAGATCCATTAGAAACATCCTTCTGATTAGCCAGTAGCTCAGGCATATTATTAACTAGCTTTTATCCATTAAAATAAAACTCAGCCCACAAGGCACACATACACACACACAAACACACACACACACACACACACACACACACACACACACACACACCACTGAGGCCTCACATGGGCACCCTGCACAGTACTCAAAGCTAAAGACGAATAAGGTCTTTTCACATGCCCCTCCTCAACATCTACAAGTGGGCCAACTGAGGCCGATAACAACTTTTCTCTGCCAAGGATGCCCACAATCCTACTCCTACACACATAAGTCCCCTCAGGCCCAATCTGTCCCTGAACCCTCAGGCCAGTGCTCCTACCTCACACTATTGACACTACTCCAAAGCTGTATAAGTTGGCTCACTTCCCAGTGTGGACCTTGTCTGAAGTCTAGGCAACACCAGGAACAGGTTCTGCCATCACTCTAGCCCTCTAGGCTTGGTCACCAGAGGACAGACACATCAGGCAGGCTACACAGCCACGACCCACAAGAGTCACAGGCCCTGATTCAGCCTAGCCAGTCCCAGAACTGAGGAGTGGAGCAAACAGAGCAGTCTCCCACACAGTCCAGGCCACCCTCAGGTCCACTGTGTGTGGCTGAGCCCAGGGACAAAACTGGAACACTTTTGTGAACTGAGGTTTCTGATCCATAGAGAGCAGAAGGAAAGCTGGCCCCAGGGAGGATCTGCTGGCCCAGCCCAGCCAGTCCTTTCTCCTCCCCCCTCCATGCAGACCCACTTGCCACACAGGGAATCACTCCCAGCCCCACCTTGTTGGGACAAACACTGACTGCCCCTCTCTGTGCAGAGCTGGAACTGGACGACAACTGTGCTGAGGCCCAGGACGGGGAGCTGGACGGGCTCTGGACGACCATCACCGTCTTCATCAGCCTCTTCCTGCTCAGCGTGTGCTACAGTGCCACTGTCACACTCTTCAAGGTCAGCCGCACTGTCTCCACAGTGTCCATGCCGTCCCCACGCTGCTTCCAATCTGTCACCATGCTGTCCCCACACTGTCCCATTCTACCTCCCACTTCCTGTCCCGTGTTGTCCACTGCTGTCCCACACTGTCCCCCATGCTGTCCCTGTGGTGTCCTACGCCCCAAACCGTCCCATGCTGTTTACCACATTGTCACATGCTGTGCAACGCTGTCTGCCCTGCTGTCCTGACAGTCTCCGGGACGCCCCGACCCTTCCCACTCTATCCTGTACCGTCCTGTGCTGCCCTGGGCTGTCATCTGTACGTCCACGCTCTCTTCGTGCCATCCCTATCGTCCATACTGCGCATGTCGTCCCCCAAATTGTCCGTACCACGCTGCCCCACATACTGAACCCTACCGTCCCATAACGTCCCCTTGCTGTCCCCAACCCTATCCCTACCCCGTCCCCCTTAGCTCTCCTGCTGTTCCCACACTGCCTCGTGCTATTTCCTATGACGTCCCACGCTGCCTGCCATTCTGTGTCTCATGCTGTCCCTACACTGACCTATAATGGCTAACATGTAGCTTGCTCCATGCTGTCCCCACATCATCGCTCATTCTGTCTTTAGGCAACACCCCGCTCCATTACCACACTGTCTCGATTCAGTGCCCGCACTGTCCCATGCTCTATCTTCAGCCTGGTCCAGTGCTCTCCACCAATCTATCCCACACTATTCCCATACTGTATCCCCACAATTCCCCCATCCTACCCCCTCTGGTCCCCATGCCATCCTACAGACTCCAACACAGCTGGAGAGGGGCTCTGGGAGTGGGTGCTTGTCTGACTTACCTACCTGTCCAGAGGGGACTTCTGGGAAACAGTCCTCGATTTACCCACAGGACAGAGTGCAGGCCTGATCCTTGTCTTACCCACCCTGCCCCACAGGTGAAGTGGATCTTCTCCTCAGTGGTGGGGCTGAAGCAGACACTGGCTCCCGACTACAAGAACATGATTGGACAAGGGCCTTAGGCTGCCTGCTACAATGGACAGAGGGTTTTCCAGGCCCAGAAGGACCCTGTTCAACATGCCAAGCAGCCTGACTCAGATCACACTGTCCACACATGCTTCACTACCCTCTGAGCCTGAGACCCAGCCACCCTCAATTCTTCCCTCATTGGAAGACCATGTGAAGAGTAGATTCTGCCCCAGGTGACAGCCACCAGGACCTAAAACACCATCACAGCAGCAGCCAAGATACTGGATGGGGCCAGAAGGGCCATAGTTTCAACAGTATATCCAGACAGTTGGGACAGAAGAGTATTCACTGAAGCAGAGACATGTGCCCACGTTGTCTGTGTCCAACTAGAAAGGGACCAACCTTGGAGCCAGCCCTGTCTACATCACCCTCTAAAACACAGGGATTCCTCACAGAAGAAGCAGTTTTCAGATCCCCAAGAGTAGACCAGGAAGACCAAGGTGACCACGGCCCAACTGAAGCTCACTGGAGTTATTCCAGTGGCCTTTGTATCACCCATGTCCAGCCAGGCTCCTTCCTACCCCTTCCACAAGCCCTGGGATAAGGGAAAAGCCTGTGTTTTTCAAGGTCTTGGGACAGAATCTTCCGAAGATTGGGCTCCTTGTGTAGATCCCTCTTCTGGTTCAACAGACTGGATTCTCAGATGAAGGAGCCAATCACAGACAACCCTTACCCCATGGCCTTGAGACCTGGACACTGCCACCTCCCTGGATGTCTCAACTACACTCTGGGGACATAACAGAGGAAGACCTGGGCTTCATGGCCTCTGTGTGGCCCTGGCAGGTGCAAGTGCAGAGGACACTGATCAGTAACCAGCAAGGACCTCCTGGAAAGGGACCTGAAGAGCAGGTTCCAATCAGGCCAGAAGAAAGAAGACAAACAGTAATGGAGGTAGCGGGACACTGGAAAGAACCATGGTACAGCAGGCTCATCCTCCAGGCCTGGCATCTGCCCAGGACACTTACAGCAGCTAATAACAGGTGGAGGAGAAGCCCACGGAATTGCCCTGTCCTGAAGCACTGTCTACTGATATGTGGAGTAGGTCCCCTACAGAGGTCCAACACTAGCTTCTCCATCATCTCTCAGCCAATGAAGAGACAGGAAGAAAAAGAAAAGTGAAATGGAAAAGTGGGTGCCTGCCCCTCACTGACTGGCAGTAAGTTCTCAGAGGACTCGGGGCTTTGGCTTCTAATTTCCTAGAGATCATTGATACCTTTAAGATCTCTCTCTGGTTTGTTTGTTTTTGTTTTTTGACAATAAAACATTCTTCAGACATTCTACAATCACTGTGTTCTTCCTATATGGACCGGCCCTGACATTCAGGAACAAGGCACAATTAGGCAGACCTGTGAGCCATGCAGGCCTCTCTACCTATCTCCTGGTTGTGTGTCCTCCCAGGCCTCCCCTAGTGGGCCCTCCACTGCTGGGCCCCAGTTCTGCTACTGTACACCACATAGGCCCTCAGCCTTTCCTCCCTACAGGCAGTTTCTTCCCAGCTAGAGGCTGACCCCAAACCAGCCACACTAACTGAGAAGCCTGTGCCTCCCAGTGACCTCAGGCTGCTGTGAGAAAGGATGTGGATTCAGCTGCCTCCATAACTGGTGTTTATTGTCTCCACCCCTAGTAGAAGCCCCAGATCAGGTGTTGACAAGGTGGGTTCTCAGCAGGGCTCTGATTGGCTTGTAGATGCCTTCTCCTCTGTGTGTCCTCACAGGCCATCCCTCTGTGTGTGTCTACATCCTGATCTCTCCTCATAAGTGCACAGATGGTTCGAGGAGGTACACCCTAGCCCTCATCATAACTTGCATGTTTAAGATCCTGTCTGTGCAGGGCGGTGGTGGTGCATGTCTTTAATCCCAGCACTCGGGAGGCAGAAGCAGGTGGATCTTTGAGTTCAAGGCCAGTCTGGTCTACAGAGTAAATTCCAGGAGATCCATGGCTTTTACACAGAGAAACCCTGTCTTGAAAAAAAAAAAAAAAACTCTGTCTGCAAACATAGGCACTTTCTGAGGTCCTAGGAACCGAAATGATGATTGGTGAATCTGCTGAGGACAGAATCTAGCCCATAATAGCTTGGCCAATGGCCCCAAAATGTTCATATCTCTCCTACATAAAATGTTCCCCATGACAACACACCAAATATCACCCATCCAGCATACAGATCTATCCCAAATATCCTCCAAATGTCTGCTAGTTAGGTCAGGGTGAGATGTGGATGAGCCTCCTTCAGGGTTAAATACAGGCTGTACAGGCCATGGCTGTCAGGAAGGTCAAGACAGTAGGCACAGAGCAGACATTTGTACCAGGATGATCTGAACAGATGCTCAAGTTCAAAGGCAGATTATAGCCTGATGACATGCGATAGGAAAAATAGCACATGGTAATCCTCTCCCACTAGCTCAGTGATAACACCCTTTCTCTGGCAAAGTGAAAGAATGGGAAACAGAAGAGATGTCCAGGGAAGAGAAAAATTACACAGGTGCTGCATGTGTCAGTGTCCTACCACAGCTGGACTCTATCTTCCCATGGAGATCAGGAGACACAGAGAGATATGTGGGACCCAGAAAGATGCTTCTGGAATGTAGGAAGTATTAGCACCCATGGAAAGAAAAGATGTACCATCAAAGGCCTCCTGACACCCCAAAAACAGGTGCCAGGTGCTGGCTGGGCAGTGAGTTCTCAGGTTGAACTTAGTGGCTGAGATGTCTTAAGGCATATCCTTGAGGCTAGAGACTCTTCATGTCTATATAACATCTAGTGGTGGCTATATGAGGGAGCTCAGCTGGGCTGGGCTGGTCAGGAGAGGATCCTGTCAGCACAGCTACAGTGGGTGCAGAATCCAAACGGACCAGTGCCATCGCAGCTTCTGGTGTTGGGAAAGGCATGCTTTACCTCGAACAGAGGAGCAGCAGATTCCTGTGGGTAGTGTGGCTGATGTGAAAGCCGTAGGGAGATGGACAGAGGAGGCACGGAATTTGTGACTCATGCACAGAGAGCCACATGGAGCCTGGGCTCTGGCCACGTGTACTGAGCAGCTGATACAAAGCTCCTCACTCGCGACACAGAACTGTCAGCGAAGGTAATGGAACCTAGAGTACAAAAAGGACAGCTCTGCCTTAGTCCTGAGGAAAGCTGTTTAATCCTCCACCAAGTCTCTGCTTAGTATGTGACCAAGCCAACCTCCCTGCAAAGTGAGGGAGAACAGCCATAGAGATCTTGAGTTTAGAGAAGATGTGGGCCTGGGACAGTTTTGTTGCTCTGATAAAAACACCCTGTGAAAGAAAACTTAAGGAAGGAAAAGTCTATTTTTGTCCCATAGTTCAAGTGTACAATGCATCATGGCAAGTGTCTTAGTCTCCCTTCTGTTGCTGTGGTAAAATAAAGACAACTGCCATTGGAGGTTGTGGTCTGTCATTGTGGTGAGTGACAGGAGGAACCCGGGGCAGCTCGTGACGTCCACAGTCAAGACCAGAGAGGACGCGTGCATGCAGGCTCACTACTCGGTGACACATAAAGTCGGGAAGGAAATTTGGTGGGGATTGAAGAGGACATGGAGGAGAGGAAATATGGGATGGATTGTATCAAAACATAGTGTGTGTGTGTGTGTGTGTGTGTGTGTGTGTGTGTGTGTGTGTGTGTGTGTGTGTGTGTGAAATTCTCAAACAATAAAGAAAAACACTGCAGGAATAACTCAGCAGGTAAAGGCATCATGCATGAAGCTGCTCAGCAGGTTATGCATGAAGCTGTGATGGTGAAAGCCTGCATGTATTGAAAATCCAAGAGCTGAATTTGATTACCAGGGCCCATATGATAGAAGGAAAAAAAATCAAATTATACCCAAAAGTTGTCCTCCTACCTCCATGTGTACCCATAGCATGTGCAGAATCCAAACATACATGCACACACTCAGCATAAACACAACACACATATAAACACACACACACACACACCACATACATACACACATATACACACAGGCGTTTCTTAAGGACAGCATCCTTTATCTATCTTTCTGCAGGTACTTGTCTGCGTTGCTGAATGTGTTCATGCTCCCATCATGCCACACAGCACATCTTCCACATCCTTCCACTCCACTTTCTGCTTTCAGTGTGGTTGTAACAACGAGAAGTGAGTCATAAATGTGCCACAGCCTCAGTGTGGTGCTGACATGGAATTTCCTCCACCAAATAAATTGTTCTGTTACTTCTGAACACAGCCAGATGCTTCCCTGGAATGTAACACGGGTCTCCAGGTCAGTCTTGATGGAACCCCGTCCCCTAGGAAACCTCATGAGCTGGGTCCTTGCTGTCTACAGTCCCTTTCTGATGTTTGCCTGCACTGGGCTTCCTCTTCCTGCAGCGTCCATGTAAGTGATCCCTAAAGGTGCCCCATCTGTTCCTCTGTCCATCTTACTTTTTAAGTTCCTAGGCTGGGTGTATTCTGAGAAAGTATTTATTTACAACAAGAGAATTATACATTTCCCAGAATTCCTACTGTTCTGGTTATTGATGCTGTTTGTCCTTAACTTGTGTTTGGCCCTTACAATGACAAAGACCCACTCTTTTCTTCCTTTCGTCCCCAAT